ACCAGATAATCTTGGCATCCTGTGGCCCAGTCAAGTTGGCATGTAAAATTAACCATAATGGGTAGTTGTGGCCAAATAGAGAAGAATGACTATCTCCCGCCTGCATGTTACTTTCTTTTAAGAAAATACTAAAGCAGTGATGCGTGGGCCCCACTGTCAGAGTTCTCAGTGAGAATGGCTGTTACTATTTAATTAAAGTTCCATCTTTAGGAAACAGTCCTAATGGGTTCATGAGCCTTGACAGGGTGAACCTGAGTTAAAGACACTACCAGAATTGCTCATGCCCCTGAGAACTAAGTCTTTGTAACTTTGTAACAAGCTTACCATGTCTGCTCTGGATGAGTCTCTCCTAAGAACCTCCTTAGTACTTAATGCAAATAGACTAATTGCTACCCATGCCATGAATGTTACAATTTGCCAAATATACCTGAATTCCAGGCATGAACATAGCTCAAACTGGTCAGCCCACTGTGTAAACAGTAAGTTAGTAAATTAATCTTTGGTTCCGAGTCCATCTTTTCCTTTCATGTAGAAACAGCATGGCAATTTACAACCAGATCATGGAAGCCAGTATGTCCTGTTAGAGAATAACAACCACTGAATTGCCTACCAACTCAGCACTCTACCAGCATGGAATTTCTGTGGCAGAGAAGACACAGAATGGAATACAGTTATTACCTCACCAAAAAGTGATGTCTGCGAACTGAAATAGACCAGTCACACAGTGTTGGCAAAAGAAATACTTCAGGGGCCATGTGTGGTGGCTCACACCTGTAATCCCAGCTTTGGAGGCCAAGGTGGGAGGATCACTCGAGCCCACAAGTTTGAGACCACCCTAGGCAACATAGTGAGACGTCATCTCTACAAAAAAATAATAAATTAGCCAGGTGTAATGGTACATGCCTGTAGTCTCAGTTACTCAAGAGGCTGAGGCAGGAGGTTGAAGCTATAGTGAGCCATGATTATGCACTCCAGCTTGGATGACAGAGTGAGACCCTGTCACACACACACACACACACACACACACACACACACACACACAAGATTTTGAAATGGTCAGTATAACATTGCTGAATACTTCTGGGAAACAAAATAATCAGCCTGGGATACATTTCCTAAAATGGTCACTTGGGGAGACAAAGGATTGAGATGCTTTGAGTATCACAGTCACAAATGGTCTCACAACATATCAGAAAACAATAGTCCAAAGCAGTACTGAAGAGACTCTTAGGTCCTGTAGCTCACTGAAAACCATACTGTCATGATTGGGAAATTTTTTTGCACAGCTGCTATATAGCCTTGCATTTGTATCTACAAGAATATGAACCAATCCTATAGAAATGAAAAAAAAAAAACATGCTATTTGGCCTGACATTTCAATACAGTTCCTTAACTGTGTATTAAGTGTCTGTGATGTACATGACACTCTATTAGGTAAAACACAAAGCACTAAAATGTCTCCAGTAGGCAGCTATTAGGATTAGGACTACGTATTTAATTTGCTTTGTGGTTTCCATAATGTCCCTCTATTTCTCAAGACGTTTTCCTCTTTTTATATTACCTCTTTTTCCGTTAGAATAGAGGTTGAAAATCAATCCCAGTGAATCTCATCTTTAGGTCATCTCTACACTTAACCAATTAGCCGAGTGTGGTGACACATGCCTTGGCACTTGGTGACCTTTTTTTTCTTCCAGTTCTGCTGACCTTCAAGAGCACAGAGGTTTAGCTGCATGGCTTCCCATGAAATGTTGTTGTGTCACCTGCTAAGAGGATATAACGACTGAGACAGGGAACCTAATCACCATGATTTCCTTGGGGAAGGTCAAAAAAGAAATGATACCACTAGCCAGCTTTAATTACAGGAGCAAAACTAGGCCTTTGAGGTGAAAAGAAAAATCCCAGGTGAAGGACCTAAATGGATTTATGCTGTTTAAATGTGATCTCTTTCTAAAATGTAATTTCACTAATGGGATTATTGCTTCTCTAGTAAATTCTTAGGGTCAGATACCATCAAATTTTTCAAGTTGAGTAGATCACAACCAATCAGTGTTTACAAAAGTGGTCCATTAAATCAGAAGGAGGCATGATTTTAAAAACTATGTCATGTGGTCCTGATCCTGGGAGCTGGCAAAGAAGGCAGCAGCCACCATGGTGTGGATGTGTAAGTGCTAAGATGCTACTTCTGTTAAGGTGTCCAAGTTCTTGGCATTTTGAACAAAGAATTGGACAAAATGCACAAAGAAAGCAAGGAAAGAATAAAGCAACAAAAGCAGAGATCTATTGAAAACAAAAGTAGACTCCACAGACTGGGAGTGGCCCCAGCCTAGGGGGTCAAGAGCCCCTTTAACGAATTTTCTGGGGTTTAAATATCCTCTAGAGGTTCCCATTAGTTACTTGGTGTACACCCTATGTAAATGAAGTAGTAGGCAATCAATCTGATTGGTTGGCTGAAGTGAAGTTACAAGTTTACACCCTATGCAAGCGTCTGATTGGTTGTGGAAAGCAACCAATCAGAGGCTGAAGTGAAGTTACAAAGTTACACGCCTATGCAAATATCTGATTGTGCTTTCTGCAACCAATCAGAGATACTTTCAATTTTCCACACAGAATCTATTCAGGGGAGCAGAGAGTTGCAAAGAAAGTAAGGGAGTAGCCTCTAGTCCTTTTGTTACTTGGGTGTGGCAAGTTGGGGTTTTCCTTTTAATTTAATTCTAGGAAGTCAGCATGAATTGGCCTTAGATTCCCTGCCTCCAGACCGTATTCTCCTGCCTCACTTCTGCCTGGAGATAACTCTCCAAGTGCCTCCATCATGCCAGGTAGTATCTTGAGTACTTTCATTGAAGGCGAATTGCTCGGAAATAAGCCATTAGATCCAGTGGCAATCATTCATTCATTCATTGTTTTCCCTGAGATTTTTTTTGACCACTTACTCTGTACCAAGCAGGATCTCAGAGATGGGGATGCAAAGGTGAACAAAATTGCACTGGTCTCTGTCATGGAGCTTACATTCCAGTGGAGTAGGTGGAAAGGAAACAACTAAATCAATGAAAATACAATTTCAGGTAGAGTGCAGTGCTACAAAGAAAAATAGAATAGGATAGAGGATTAAAAATGTGGAGTAGTGGAGGCAGGTTGTCTTAGAATGGCCGGGGAAGTCCCTCTAAGAAGGTAAATGTGAACAGAAGCCTGAATTAAGCAAAGGTGAGCTACCTGGAGATACAGAAGCCTAAGACAGGCCAGGAGGTTCCAGGAGGACACAGGTGGGAGCAAGTTTAGTTAAAGGAAAATGAGGACATGCATGTGATTGGAAGAGAGTGAGCAAAGGGAGTGTGGCTGAGGAGGCTGGCAGGGAGGCAGTAGTCGATCTTGCACGGCCTTGCAGGCCACATCGAGGAGTGGAGATTCTATGCAAGAAAGTTGGGAGCCATGGGATAAGGACACCTAGAGGTTCCATTCATGAATCCAGGGCATTTACTTCCCTTTATGAAGGAATGGAAGATTCTACCACCATTTCTACAAGATTCTACAACCGGGGGTGGTGGCTCACAGTTATAATCCCAGTGCTTTGAGAGGCTGAGGCAGACAGATTGCTTGAGGTTAGGAGTTCAAGACCAGGCTGGCCAATATGGCAAAATCCTGTCTCTACCAAAAATACAAAAAATAGCTGGATGTGGTGGCGCACACCTGTAATCCCAGCTACTTGGGAGGCTGAGGCAGGAGAATTGCTTGAACCTGGGAGGTGGCGGTTGCAGTGAGCTGTGATCCTGCCCCTGCGCTATAGCCTGGATGACAGAGCGAGACAGTGAGGCTGTCTCAAAAAAATAAATAAATAAATAAAATCTACACACAGCAGCTAGTAACTCCTGGATGTCCAAGGGCAAAGGCCATTGTAATAAATCAAGGAATAAAAAGTGTTATAAGTCATGACCTCATTCTCAATGGAATTACCTATTGAGGACATAATAATAAACATATGTGATTTCATAAAACAAAGCAGTATCAGGAGGCCTTTTGTGGCCACACTGGTCTAGCTACCACCTAAAAGTCCCCATAATGCGTGACACCCCCTCCTAACCCCTCCACATAAACATAGATTCAGAAAAGGACTGGACAGGGAGACACTCCTTTACATATGGGCGCTGGGGTTTAGAATTGACACCCTCACTGTTAATAATATTTCCTAATTCCTCATACAATGGAATTTTTAGAATAGATTTTATAATAAATTTAAATAATTACTTATAATAAAATGTAGACAGAATAGACAGAAACAAATAATTACTTGTAATAAAAAGTAGAACAGCTAGAAACACAAGGCTGTGTCTTTTATTTCATGGTTCGAAAAGTTCTATGAGACAACATTAATTAGTAACATTCCTCAATGGACATGCAACATAGTTCATTATAAATGGTAATTTAGAGATAATGGTGTGAACGTGTTAAGTTTCAAGCAACCCATCTAAAAGTGAAAGTGGAGCTCACTGTTCATGTACATTCTCATCGGAGCTCTGAGTACAGCTTATATTTCAGCCTAAATTATCTTTCTTAGCCTTTCATATCAAGGCCATTTTAGCAGCATTTTAGAATAGATTAGTAAAAGGGAAAGCAGACGTTAAAATATATAAAGTAAGCATTTTAGGCAAGAATCCAGATTATATAATTCTATATGATCAGAGAGATAATCACCTCTTTTCTGAGAGGACTCATGCCTTCAGATAAAATAACACTGGGTTACATCTCTTCCTTCCCACCCCACCCCCTTTGGCGTGCTTTAATTAGAAAGATACTAGCATAGATTAAAGTCTTAGCCATACTCAATTCTTCCCTTGACCTGAAGAAAACCACAGCCATAGAGAACCTGTTGTGACAAAACATGGTCAGTTTCATCCAAGTACACCAGCAAGCTTAAATAGAGCACCCAGGAGGCAGACTGTTTATGCAAGAGGAAAGAAGTGAGCCTTACATATTGATGATTTGACTCACGTAATGAATGGTCTTACCTTCTGCATCAGAGCCTTGAAGTGTCAAGCACATGATTTCCATGCAGACAAGTAACATTTCTGTGCAGGAGAAGTCTGAGATAATCTTCGAGATGTAAACCAAGGACCTGCTGTCTGGGTCTTTGCATTTGTCAGTTGTGTATTTATGTATGGGACACAGTAACTGTGGAAGCAAACCAAATTCAAGCAAACTAAAAAGCAAATCCTTCCATAGTACTTAAAGTCCAATGAGATAAAATGATGGATCAAAAGGATTATTTTTGCTTAATGAAGCATTCTGGGTTCTGAGACTCGTTGGACTCAGTTTTTCAACAGGATGTTGTGCTTAAGGGCTGGAATTTGGAAATTCCACAACAGCTATATAATCAGTCAGCTCTGGTTAATTTAATTGAAATAGGACTCTTGATGAAGCCCTGCTGTGCTTATAATTAAAAATTTGGAAAAGGGTAGGGAGAAGTGTAGATGATGTGGGGGTTCCTTTTTCCTGTGAAATTAGCTGAGTGTATTAATTCAGAGGGTAGGCAGTAGCCTCTGATTGTATGCTTTAGTAATCTGAACCATCTGCCTCTATATACTAAGGAGTTCACCACTTTAATCCAGCTTACGGCCGACAAACCACTCTTCTCTATCAGTATGCCCTTGAATAGATGAGGCTATACAAAGTCCTTTGCTCTTAAATGTATTGCTGTCACTGAGAATATTTGGAGGTTTTCTCTTGGGTTTGTTTGGATTTTTTTTTTTCCAGCTTTTGTCTGAATTTTGGTTTTATTTTTCTGAGGCAGAGAAAATGGCCTTCCTTATGAAAAGTATGATAAGTAACCAGGTAAAGAATTTAGGATTTGGTGGTGGGTCTGAAGAAAATAAAGAAGAAGGAGGTACATCTGATCCTGCAGCAGCTCATGGGATGACTAGAGAGGAGTATGAGGAATATCAAAAGCAAATGATTGAGGAGAAGTGAGTACATGCTACTTCATTTCCCTTAAAAAGCAAAGGAAATTCATTCTGGCCACACCTTCTTCAGTTTCCTAGTTTATTTCTCTTTGCTTTTTAAGATGCCTTTCCTTTTGCCGTTTACCTCTAACTGGAGGAAAGGTCATTCTTCTAAAGTAAGCAGTTCCCTAACATCAGCAGTGACTATGTTCTATGTTCTACATGTGTGAATGAAAATGAACAGTAATAAATGCATCTGTATGTTGTTCTTAATGCAGCTTACTTAACACTTTCTGGTCTAGGCATGTTTTGATTGACCTCAATTTAATTATTTAGATGAAAAGTGGTGGGTTTAACTATCTTTATGGTCTTTCTAAAATTTATCCTCCTGGCAAGTAGAAAGTCTTCAAATTGTAAGAATTCAGACCTTATACCTAGAAAAGAGCCTAAAAGAACATAGTGTGGCGCTTCCTTGATCATACATGTGCAACAACAACAAAAAAAGACACAGAAAGCATAGCGTGACAGTTGTAAGACTTGGCTTATCCAAGACTACAAATAGATTTGGGGGCTATTTAATATGGAAATTCTAAACGTACAGAAAAGTAGAAGAGTAGGATGAATACCCATATATCCTATGACATAAAGATAACAGCTTACATTTTGCTACATTTGCTTATAGATTAAATAGAGTGATACTAGATAATAGTTCTTACAGTAGATTACAGATGTCGTGATACTTCATCCCTAAAACCTTCAGCCACCTTCCGCCAAAAAATAAAGGCATTCTCTTGGTTATATAAAATATAACAAAAATAAAATAGAAAATACAAGCAACATTTTCGTTGGGTATTACAGAATGTGAATATCACCAACAACTTTTCACCACTTGAAGACTGATTGTAAAATAAATGTAATCTCTGTGTAATTTTTAAATGTTTAAGGTAGAATTAATAGTCTTTTGATAATCAACTAAGAAATGAAACATCATTCTAGGGTTTAAATGTTTATTATATGTTTCAAAAGAAAAGCATTTCTGTTTTTGCCACCAGGGCTCTTTTGCTAATGATCAATTACATAATAGTTGCCCAAGTCCTATCGCTAAGATGATTATAGGTGAAAAGGTTAATGACCTGTAGGAAACAAAGAAAGTACAAAGACTACGTTTAGTGGAAACCTTGTCTATTGTATTGTTCTGAAAGAAATTATGGCTTATAAACTACCTAGAATACATTATGCTTGGCTCTGCAGTAAATTAGTCAGTTTTTTTAAAAAAGTAAATGCAACTAGCAAAAATGATGGCTGTGGTAAGACTTGGGCAAAAGCAGCAGCATTCCTTGAATATTGGCTGATTTTACCTATGGCATGAAAAAGAACAAAACGCTGTAAAAGCAAAATAAATACTGTGTAATGAAGAATAGAACACAAACATCAGCATCAAACATTCTCAGATCAAGTAGGCTAATGAAAGCAGTCAGAAATGTAGACTACAGTTGTGATCATGCGAAATATCACTTAATATGTCCCAGCAGTAGATCCGATTGCAGATAAGGCATCTATCTGATTAACTAATGTCCTAGTTTTCCTTAATTTTATATCTGGACAGATCAAAGCTCAAAATGACCAAATTGTACAGTCAATAAGTAGACTGAGTTGTCAGCTACTCAGTTTTTTGCATATGTATGTGCGAGACTATTATATATTTAGGTAGTCACTCAATTTAAGAAACAGTGGCAGGACAATGGGGCAGTCAGCTTCCCTGTCATAAAGAAGGATGAATCTTCAGTCAATTGTTTGAGTTTTCAAGAGTTTCATCACCTAGAATGCAACATGTAGTAAGCATTAAAAATAATTCATCACAAGATAAACGCAGGGATAGCTACAAACAGTATAGTATATTAAATAATTAAAATTAATGTTAGCAAATAAAAGCCTCCTAAACCCATCCTCATTATTTTAGGAACTGGGGACATAGACTATACGAGGTATAAACAAAAAACAATTTAGCAATGTACTCTATTTAACAATGCACATTCATTTGTATTTTCTGTCTGTGTTCAATTGGGGTGTGTGTGTGTGTGTGTGTGTGTGTGTGTGTGTGTTACTGGTTACCTTAGTACTGAAAGAGGTCTAATCATAAATAGATGATCTGGAAAGGAAATAAAAGAATAGTCATTTATCCCTCCATTTTCCCAATTATATTAAAATGTTTCTTTGCCTTAGTTATGATTCGACAGTTTCTACAATACCATTTGTAACTTGACTCTGGCCTTTGTTTTATTTAGTAATTGTTTGGACCCTAAGTATAAGCCTAGCACTATGAGGAATATACTGAAATGAAAGACCTGGGTTTTCTTCTGCAGAAATTTACACTTTACTTGGTGAGGGGGAGACTAGCTAGCTGCGCGTGACCGTAAATGGAGCAACCGGTTTTCTGCGTGATTTGTAGACTGACTCCGGAGGACTGGAATCCAACTCTGCATGGCATTGATCCACCAAATGGATCAATGGGGTTTATAGTTATCTGATTTTCAGCAAAGGCGCCAGAATAATCAGACCAGGAACGGAAAGTCTTTCTAATAAGTGGTGCTAAACAGTCAAAAAACACTGAGCTTTGACCCCTACTTAACACTATACACAAAAATTAATTTGCTATACATCATACACGTAAATATAAAGGCCAAAATTGTAAAGCTTTTAGAAAAAAAAGCAGGAGAATATCCTTGCAACTTGAAAATAGGTGAAGCTTTCTTTATCATGACCCAGATTGGCAATGATGTTATCAATGACCATAAAATTATGAAATGATCAATTCAACTCTAAGTTTAACTTTTACACATTAAAAGATGCCATTAAACTAAACGGGCAAGCCAAACTGAGAGAGTCTATGTGGGAAATACATCGGGAAAAGGACCGGGATCTAGGAAAGACGAAGAACTCCTATTACTCGATAATAAAAGCAAAAAAAAAATGGGCAAAAGATTTGAACAAATATCTCAGAAAGATGGATACATGGCCAATTAGTACATGAAAATCTTACTTGAAAATACACAAAAAACTGCCTAATTAGTTGTCTTGAAAATGGAAACAATTAAAATCACAGTAAAGTACCACTCCATAAATACTAGAATGGCTCAAATCAAAAAGACCAAAAATAGTAGATGTTGACCAAAATGTGAAACCACTAGAACTCTTGTTTCAATTGTTGAGACGTAAACTAGTACAAACACTTTGGAGATAGGCCTTGCTGTTTCTTATAAAACTAAACGTATCCCAGTAAGTTACACTAGAACCCAGCAAATTCCATTCCTGTTTACCTAGTAGAAATTAAAATATATGTCCACAGAAAAAAGCTAGAATAATATTCATAGCAGCTTTACTCACTGTAGACTCAAATGGGAAACGATTCAGGTGTTTATTAACAGAATAATGACTAGATGAACCGCGATTGTATTTGTGCAAACGATAGAATACCTGCTACTCAGCAATGAAGAGGAACCAACTACTAATACAGAAAACAACATGGATAAATCTCGAGAGCATTTTATGATGAATGAAAGAAGCCGTACACAAAGATGAACTGTATGGTTCCATTTTTATGGAGTTCTAGGACAGGCAAAACCAATCTATGGTAGAAAAGGTGTGGGAGTTGCCTCTAGAGCTAGAGGGTAAGCTTTGATCAGGAACGGGGGATGGGGAATTTCCCAGGTGAGAGTAATGTTTTCTATCTTGAGAGGGTTTTGGGTTACACAGGTGTGTGCATTTTGGGGAATCATTGGATGGTGTGCTTAAGAGTTTTGTGCATTGTATTGGATACAAGTTTTGCTTCACAAGAAGAGAAACTGTAAACAAACATGTCACGCTAGTTAATGATATGTATATTGAAGGGTTTGTGGGAAAGTGTTCATTGATTTCTGCAACTTTGAAATATATCAAAAAAGTAAAAAGTGGATAAAGAGAGGAATAGATGTGAGAAAACACAGTGAGATGCAAATTGTAGAATCTAGATGGATTTGATACGAAAATTCTTTCAACTTTTCTGTATGTTTGGAAGTTTTTATAATGAAATGTGGGGAGAAAAGGTCTGCTGCTTGCCCATGCCACAGGTTGCTAATCTCCTGGGCAGGTCACTTTATTTGCTGTCCGTCTCCAAAACGTGAAGGTTGAACCTGATGCTCTCTCATGCCTGTTCCTGACCTGACATTCTGTGGATGGAAATGAGTTGAAGAGCCCCTGAGCCCAGGGCCTGCGATCAGTAGTTTAACCTGATCGTTTGCTGCAGATCCTTGCTTAACTCTCAGTTTTTTGTGTAATGGTTAAGATGATTTCCCAACTCAGAGTCAAGACGAAGAAACCAGTTTTCACCTGAAAATGAAAACAGGGGATTTGTTTTAAGCAGATAATGCTTTATGCAAAGATAGTTCACCAGATATCCATGAGTACAATTCCTATCAGGCCTCACCTGGGCCTAACCCAGGAAGCAGAGGCTGTGGAGAGGCCACGAGCATTCTGTCCCATCTCTTGCCGTTGCTTCTATCCAGGCCTGGCTGCTTTGTTCTTCCTCAGCAACCAGACTACATGCTTAGAGGGAAATGACAGCCAATGGCTACCAAGTTCATCTGTGATAGTGCCAGCCACACTGTAAGTATCTGTCATTCTTAGTACCAATCCCAAATTTTCAAAGGAGATTTCATTTACTGAACTTGGTCTAACCCAGTATAGCCAGGGGGCAGGCCCGTGGATGTAAATTCAGCACTTCTGTGGGCAGGAGGGAAGGGCGTTGGTGCTTGTGAGCTTTGCAGACATCCCCAAACGCGTCTGCTTTTGTCTGGATCATCATTAGCAAGAACGTCCATTTCCAACCAGCATAATCATGAGTCAAATTAGATCATCCACAGAGCAGGACCCCAGTCTGGCATTCTGGAAACATACCCTACCTGGTTTGGGGCTACCTCCTTCCAAACCGTGAAGGAAATACCTTGCCTAAATTGGGATCTGGAGGGGGTAATAATGAAAGGAGACAGGTTTATATTATATCCCTCAACACCAATGGTCTTCAAAGAACTGCCTGGTTCTGGACACTATGGCTCTATTTTAGTTTGTGTAAGAATCACTCAGGGAGCTTGCTAAAAATGTAGCTTCCCCTCCCCTGCACCCAGGGATTCTGATGCAGCAGGGCTAGGATCAGGGCCAGGAAGCTGCCTTTGTCGTAAGTGCACCAGGTGATTCTGAGGCTTATGGTCCTTGGCTGAACAGTCCATGGGTAACTCCATGTTAAGAATAATCACCCTGCCTCTCTCAGAGTTCACTTCATAAGGAGATTCCTAGGACCAAATTGTCTTTGGGACTTGGGGTATGTAATGAGAATTATGACACTAGAGTGACAAACAGAGAGGCAGACATTTGGGGACCCAGAAAAAAAAAATCTCGTATTTCCCAGATGGCTGCTAGCAGTGGCATCTCAGAAGGTGTAACCCAGTGTCTGGCTCTGAGCACAGGTCGTGTTATATGGAAATTTTTGGTGCTGCAAAGAAGTAGCACTTGAATATAAATTTTCTCAACAAGGCAATTTATTTCTGTAGAAAGGTGCATCTCACAGCTGGAGCAATGGTGAGTGAACACATGAGCAGGGGAAGAAAAGGGGTTCTTGTCCTTGACACATGCAGCGTTTATTGCTGTGTCGTTCTTCTATTGGCTAGAGTTGGACTACACAGTCTAAGCTAATTCTGACTGGCGATCTTAAAGGGAGCAGGAGTATTAGCCAGAGTGGTGGGGTGAGCAGCTCGGTGGGAAGGATAGTTACAGAACAGGTAACTAAAGGTGACTTAGAGCAGGTAATTAGGGGTGACTTAGTTCAGGTGACTTAGAGCAGGTGATCAGGGTGAGTCAGGACAGAACAGATAATGAGGGGAAAAGATGTGAACTACTGACTAGAACTGGTGGAACAGGTTGTTTACTGAAACTGCAGGGAAGTTAAACTTTAAAATGGAGACGAAAGAACTGAACATACTGACAGGCTGATGCTTTGAAGAGAAATCTACAGCTCATTGTATCCAACAGGTGGGAATGTCCTTAGCTCTCTGTATCCTTCTGATCCTTTATTCTTTAACTTTTAGGATGGAAAGAGATGCTGCATTTACACAGAAAAAGGCAGAGAGGGCATGCCTCAGAGTTCATCTCAGAGAAAAATATAGACTTCCAAAGGTAAGACACTTTGAGTACAGCAAACATTGAATCATTTCTTAATAAAAAGTGGGAAGTCATGCTTAATTATCTGCAAAGGATATATATATATCTCCTGGAGGATAAATATATCTATATATATGGATATACACACACGCACGCACACACACACACACACACACACACACATTTATCCTAATTGTAACTGAGATGTTTGATATAGTGAAAAGAGCACTGAACTAGGAGTTCATAAAAACTTGATTCCAGGTTTTAACTCAATCTCTATGAACTACCACTGTTGCTAGAAAGAATGGAATTAATACCTATTGATGACCTTTTAATGTAAATGTATCTAAAGATTCTAGAACTTCTCTATGTAAATACACAGTGGGAACAATAATTATAGCTGACATTGGTTGAGCTCTTTCTAGGACCAGGCACTGTTCTTCGCCTGGTACAGGCAAAGATCCCTGACTAAATGACTCCACCTTCACCTTCTGGGTTGGTTATTGAACTTCATATTCCAAAGATGCACCATCCTTAAAGAACATCTTTCATCTGGAGAAGCAAAGGAGAAGATCTCTCCAAGGGCATGATCCCATGTATGAGAGCCACCTCCAAGTTCAGGTGGTTTAGAAAGTGCCGCTAAACCAATTCCTTCCGTGGATCCTCAGCAGATCCCAGAAAAGGCTGATTTTAGAAACTACAAGCACTAAACAAGGGAGAGTCCACTGTCTCTGCAAAGTCACTGATGAAATCATCAAAGACTTCAACATGGGACACATTGATCCCTAAGGTGCCGAAGGAACCTGGGTTCTGTTCTTCATAAGGGAAGGAAAACCCACAGTAACATGTAAACTCATTTCATTCACAACCAATGAACTTGCAAAAGAATGCCTTGCTTTTCCTATTCCACCCACAATGCAGGTTTAATAACTTTTCCTCAGTGTGCTTGCATTTTGGAAGAGTGAAGGACTTCTAAACACTGTCCTTTCCACTTTCATTGTCTGGTGAATTTCCTGAAACTCCCTGAATGTCACTGGCTCTCTTTAGCAATGTGGCCTCCCCCTAGGCAGGAAACTTGAGTCAGATTCTTGCTGCTGCACTAAAGCCCCTGGCCTCTGCTCTTGGGTCCATCTGATTAAAGCACCATCAATCTGGTTGGGATGAAGCAAAAATTTCATGCACACACGCGCACGCAAATGATCGACTGGGTGTGCATCGTCCATAATGGTGGGGCTTTTAAAGATTTATTTTTGACAACTGTTATTCTTCTGTAGGGATCTAGAGAGAATTGGGGTTCAGTTGTGGCACCATGATGCAATATCATATGCTTTAAAGAATATACTTAACTCTCTTAATTGTGGAGCAGCAATAAAGAAAAAAATCTCAACCTCAGTATCCTCATCTATAAAATGAGAGCTACAGTTGCTAACTTCATAAGATCTTTGTCTGAGGTAATATAATACAAAGGACCTAGTACAGTGCCTGACAGTAGAGCTCTTATTTTTTTTTAATTTATTTGTGTGTGTGTGTGTGTGTGTGTGTGTGTGTTTTGAGATGGAGTTTCGCTCTTGTTACCCAGGCTGGAGTGCAATGGCGCGATCTCGGTTCACCGCAACCTCCGCCTCCTGGGTCCAGGCGATTCTCCTGCCTCAGCCTCCTGAGTAGCTGGGATTACAGGCATGCGCCACCATGCCCAGCTAATTTTTTGTATTTTTAGTAGAGACGGGGTTTCACTGTGTTGACCAGGATGGTCTTGATCTCTTGACCTCGTGATCCACCTGCCTCGGCCTCCCAAAGTGCTGGGATTACAGGCGTGAGCCACCGCACCCGGCCAGCTCTTATTATTGACATTATGATCTCTGGGCACAAGTCTGATTTCCTGATAATAACAACCAGGGGTCTTGAGGACTGCCAGTCCTCAGGTGTGTAATCAGTGCAGCAACCGGACGTTCCTGAGCCTCAGGGCACTGAACCTTCGATCTTTTTCTCCACTAATGGTGAATGAGCAGCCTTCCTTACTTCTGGATCCTCAGGGGTGAATGAACACCCATAGGCTTAGCAGTAAGGTTTGAGGGCTCTTCTGAGAAAAATAATTCTCAAATCTCTGTGCCAGGCTATCCTTTGAAGCAAGAGCCTTTCCAACAGAAACTAGGGAAAGAGGGAAGAATTATAGCCATGAAATGCACAAATCCGGATCCTCCCTAGAGGGTGACTGTGACTATACCTGCATAGGCTACTGCTCCCTAAACCAGCCAGCGGGAGGGGCAGACATGAAGGATGTTGAAAAATTAATAGTAGAGCCCACCAGTGTCTTTCATTTCATGGCTTGCTGATGTTCATATACCCCCTTTTCTATAGCTGTTTTAAATGCATAATGCATTTGAAACCTCACCTGATATTTTTCATAGACCATGAAAGAGACGGTAAAGCTCATCTCTTAATCTCACACCGCTGCCTCATTTTACACCTAGGAAGCTGCAGCCTCTGGAGTTAAGTTGCTTTGCAGTAAGCCTCATCTCCTGTGACAGAATCAGGATTGGAACTCAGGCCCCACAACCATGAGAAAGAGCAACTTGTTCACAAAAGGACTTGCACAGAGTTCTCCTCTCCTCAAGGCATTCGTTCTTTATATTTTTTTCCTATTTGGCATTAGAAACTTTTTACTGAGACAAGGTAAAGAGTGGGCTGAAAATATTACAGGGTGAAGGAAGGCTGAGGAAACCAGGATGAAGGCAGCTCAAATGATGAACTAAATACATTCCAAAGGTACTATTTATACTTAGGGCAATTTTAAAAGTGAAGTCTTAACCAAAAAGGCTTTACATGGCATTAAAAAAAGGGGGGGTCATTTACATCTTTTGGATTGATTAAAAAAGCTAAATTATGTACCCAAATCTGTACAGCAAGGGCCTGTTTTCAGCAGGTAAGCCTGTGTACAAGTAAGAACCTCTTACTCCGCGTAGCATTGTCCTGTTTTGTTTTACGAGAATATATGATTCCTATCCCTACAGAGTTAGTCCATAAGGCCTTAGGGACCTCATAGAAATATGGACCTACCTCTACTAGAGGACTATTTACACTGTGCTGTAAATACTCATATGTGTGTCCACCCCCACAACTAAGCTGTCGATGCCTTGAGTGAAGGGGTTATGGCTCCTTCATTTTGTATTTACAGTGACAATTAATAGGCACTCAATCCTTTCTTTGAGTGAAGGATAAAGGAAACGCTTTGACACCACCACGGCTATTTACATTAACATTCCCACCATTAGCCGCCTCCAGAATAAAAACACCAAATTGCTGCCACATTTTCAGCAGTTTTCACAATACAGTGCTTCTGGACTTTTTAATGTAAACAAACGTTTAATTTACCAGTTTTCAGCGTAATGACACAAACAGCATTCTTCTTGGAAGGGAAAACCTGCTGGGAAGTGACTTCATTCTTTTTCTCTTTTTCAAAAGTACATCTCGCAGCGCCAACTGTTTTTCTCAGAAGGAACACTTACTTTTTAACTGGACGGGGCTATACCGCATCCTCATAAAGTTCTTCTGCTTTTTCTTCTCTCTATTTGTTGAACTGGAAAATGGATTCATTTTGGTTTTTTTCCTCACAAATTCTTTTCGATCTGTCTTTCCAGTCATTGCAGTTGCTAGTCTTGTCTCTTTGTCAGACTTCAGCTTTTAATGAAGGCGTTCAGTGTCCCAAAGAGAAAGTAATTCGCCCCTGGGCTCTTCATCACTGTCTATTTCAATATATTTCCTCTTCTGGGATTTCCCAGGGCCGGTGTCAAGTTCTTTTCTCATTTGGGCCATGCGGATTTTCTGGAAGTCTTCCTGAGTTAAAGCTCGACTGGTGCTGATGGCTGCAGCTTTGCCCTTCTGCTCCTTCATGTCCACGAAGGACATGCTGTTCAGCTTCTTGGAAATTTCTTGCTGCTCTTCATCAGAAGAGTGTTGCACATCAACCATTTGCCATCGGCATCCTCCTCCTCACGGAGACTGGTACGTCCCCATCCATCTTCATCATCTCCAGCATTCTCTTCTTTCTCAACTTCCAGAACTTCTGCTCCTGGAATATAATCTTTAGCATCCGCTTCTCCATATTCTTGTACTCTTCCTTCTACGGAGGCCTCGTAGGCTTACCCCGGAATTTCTTCTGAAGCATCTGAGGATTCAGTGTTTGGAAGAGCTGTATCAAACTTCCAGCAGACATCATTACATTCTTATCCTTGTGTGTTTTATACTGAGCCAGGTCTTAGAGAAGTCCTTCTGTCATAGCCAGAGGACACTGAGCTGTTAACTGTTTTATAGCATCGATTCCTACTGTCATGGCTTCTCCAGAGTTCTTCTTGGCCACAAAATTGTTGGCCACAGTCATAAGCAATGATTGAATAATCTCTCGGGTGATGAGGGGCTTGTACAGCAAACAGAAGGATGTTTGTTACTTCTCTTTGGCAGGGCTGCAGAAACCTTTCTTTGCAAAAAGGGAGAGAAATTGAAGGGGAAGAGCTCTTGAATTCCCACCAAACTGCAGATGAGGGTCACGAGCATCTTCACCTCAAACCTCTCCTTGCAGCACTCAAGCTGCTTTCGTAGATTTTCTGCAAAATCTTGGCGATCATGAATCAAGTGAATGGCTGAAAAGTTAAACACCTCTGGTTTTTTCTTCTTCTTTTGTTTCTGGAGCACTTTCATCGCCTTTTCCAACTTTTTCTTATTTTTGGATCTTTTCTTCTTTGTAGTGTATTGTACTAGCTGGTTTCTTGCCGTTGGTCCATCATCCTCAGACTGGGAGTCACTGTTCTGTTTTCATCGACCTTAGAGAAACATGCAGTTGGGATAACACTGACAGTTTTGGCCTCATTCCAGACGTTCCTTCTGCAGCGTTCAGTCGTCACATCTGGAGACCCCTCGGCTGCAGTTGCATTGCTATCTCAACACGGTGTACATGAAAGTTCGCAATACGACATTCACTTTATCGCAGTATTCTTGTGTTCTGCGTTTATATTCTTGAT